GTCTAGAATCCTTTTTCATTGTTATAGTTGGATCTAGTGACATGATAGATCTAAAGTATATATGTCATTATCTAGTTTATAGTGCAGGAGTTTTATATGTACTTCTTTTTATAAGGGCAAGGGTTGGAGGAGAGGATATACTTATACATACATATACAGATACCATTTATAGAATATATTCCGTTTTTTATTATTATTATTATTTTAGCATCTTGGACAATAATTTAACATTGGATTAATCAAAGATTAAATCCGTCATTAATTACCCACGTATGTTCTAATGCTGATGTGATCATTAGTTCATACAGATTATATTCTCCGCGTAAATAAATACTTACCAAAAAAAGGCAGCGTTATACTCACAAATTTGTGGAATAAATAGATTAGGCCAGTTCTGTTCAACATTCATGTATCATCGTCATGCATCTATGTTACTATTTTCTTGCATGTGTTTTGTATTGTTTAATCAAATTCAAAATCATTAGGAAATTGATTAAGTGTAAATATCCTAATTTATAAAATTTAAATTCAAAATTTTTATTTTTATTTTTTTTTATTATTATTGTTACATGGGTTAAATTGCCTTAATTAAGAAACATGAATTACACTATTCAGTATTAATAACAATATATTATTAAATATTATTTTGGACCATGGTTTTGGGCCCAACTTGAGGTTTATTCCCTCGGTCTTCACAATGAGATTGAGTCTTAACCACACCATACACACCCTCCCACTAACTCCAATACACCTCATCAAGAGGAATGAACATACCTCGCACATGCAAGTGGGACTGATTAGGGTAGCGGTTTTGAGGTCATGCATTGTAAATTAGGGGAATCTCTTACATCCTATATAAGCTTTTGCACCATTGTTGTCAAGCTCTTGTTTGCAAACTTCTGACCCCTAAACACATACACTCGCCCTTTACTCGGCCTATAGTCTGACATCAGCACCTTTAGTCCAAGCTACTTGAACCCTTTTCCTCCATACTTTGAGTTCTCTAACCCACTGAACATTAATCATTTCACTCCCTTCGCAGGTTGACATCTCATTTCCAAATCCACCTCAAATCAAATATTATTATAAATTGCCTTTCACAAACACTTTTTTATTAATAAATATTAACTATTAAAAGGACAAAACCTATAGTAGGGTCGATTATACGCAATTTTCCCATGTATTTTCTACAAAAAAAAATTGTTTCTAGATTCTTGAAACCATGACCTTTCGGTTAAATACAAAATCAAAATTGATAAAATTCTTCGTTACCGTTTCAAGATAGTTAATTGCATCAAAATTTTAATATAATAATCCAAAAGCGACTTATACATGACCTAAGCGTTTCTACAATTTCAAAGTATTTTTTTGTTTAAAACTTAAATAAAAAATTATCAAAATATTACATATAAGATTCGTTAAAGACTTTGTTATGGACCCATGTAAGCGGCCCATCATGATAAGCCCAACAAGGGGCAATCCAAGATATGAATCAATACTAGTCATGGATAGATATCCATCAAGGATACTAATCCTAATACGACAGCATAGCAAGCAGGCCTGAGCCCTTACTAGAGGCACCAAAGGCCCATCCACGCTACCCACATGTAACCTCTATAAATACCAGGTAAATCCTAAAAGTACGTTACACTCTCTCTCTTACTGTTATGCTGTCACTGTGCGCACACACACACACACCCCATTGGCTAACGCCGTTATAGTATCATATGCACAGTGATCTGCTTGACTCAAGGGTATCTCCTTCATAGATACCTTGAAGAGGGCACTAGACCCAAGATAAACATACCAGCCTATTAAGCTGGACATCTCTGTCCCAAAGACAGAACATTGGCGTCGTCTGTGGGAAATTCTTCTTTGAATTTGAAGTTCCCACCAATCTGATAAAGGATGGCAATCCAGACAAGGAGCAGTAGCCAACAATTACCCCGGAATCAGAACCAACCGCTGGATCCAGTTCTGGAAGAGGTAAATCAGCCTCAGAACCAGCTAGGAAACGACGTGGACTATGACCATGTCCAGGTTGATGATGACATCTTGGACACTGCGTCCACTCCAGCGTGTCATGATAGGAGGGCTGACACAATTATTGCTCTGGTAAGGAACAACCCTCCCCAGTATCCTGGGGATCTTGCTGCGCGTATTGCCCAATCAGCCGATCCAGATACTCGGCTGGCTCAGAACGCATTTGCTGCGATCATGGAGCGAATTGCAGAGTTGGAAACTCGTAATAACCTGCAACGACAACAAGATTTTCGGACGATACGAGAGGAAAATAATAGGGGAATGCGAGACCTGGAACAGCGCTTAACGCAGCTGAATGGACCAGGGGCAACAGAAACTGAAGGTCAGCCTGCCAATGGCCGGGAAGGAACTCGCAACTTGATTCAGCAACACCGGGTTCCTGAGGTGGAAAATCGCGAAAGGCCCAACCCGGCGAACGCAACGAACCCGAACCTGGGAAACCAGACGGTTGATGGCCAAAATGCTCAAAACCATCTGGCATAAGCTAACCGCCAGCCGGACCGGGATGGGACCCATCCCAACCCAAATGCACAGATTCTCCGAGGACGTATGGAATCTGGCGGATACAGAAGGAAATACAGCAGGGAGCAGTATAAAAACAACCCCGTTATTGGTGAAATATTGAATGCTTCTTTCCCGGAGGATTTCGACTCGACACGCTTGCCAAAGTACGATGGAAGTCAAGATCCACATAGATGCTTTTGACACGGACATGTATATTCGAGGAATTGACAAACCCCTCATATCCTGAATATTTGCCATAACCCTAACTGGGGCAGCGCAGGCATGGTTTTCAACTCTTCTTCTAATTCCATCGGATCGTTTGAGTTCGAACAAAAATTTCTCTTACACTTTGCGACCAGCAAAAAACATCCAAAGTCCGAGTTTGCACTTGGAAAGATACGACAGCAACCTGGAGAAACCCTCCAGAAATACCTTAACCGGTTCAAGGACACTGCATTGCAGGTCCCCGGATTACAAGAGAATGTCCACGTACACCTCATTGTGGCAGGTTTGGATGGTGCATCCAGGCTGGCCAAGTCGGTCTATAAGGACCCAGTGAAGACGTTGGAGGAATTCCGAACCCATTCGAAGAAATACCTCGAACTTGAGCAAATGGAGATTGCAAATGCGCAATCTGAAGAGGGCAAAAGAAATAGCCCAAGAAGAAGAAGCCCGGCGCCGAAAGGAAAATAATGAGTTGACAGTAAGAAAAAAGATCCTAGGGCCAGAATCTCGGATACCCAAGATCGAGTTGGAAGGTATGATAAATATACACCATTGAATGCGTCACGCTCTCAAATCTGGAGAGAAGTGGCAATGACGGAGATGAAGAAAGTAGACAGACCTCGGCCCATATTCGACAGAGGAGGTCTGGATAAATCCAAATATTGTGCTTTCCATGATGGACCGGGTCACACAACCGATCAATGCTGGGATCTCCGAGATATTGTGGAGAAATTTATGAGAGACGGACGATTACGCCAATACGTGATCAAAACCCAGGGCTCCAAAAAAAGGAAGTCAAGAAACAAAAAGAGAAGTAAAAGCCCGGTTCCTGAAAAGAAAAACAAGGATGAAAGAACCACAAAGATGATTCCAACCCTGACGAATTCCCGGAAGCAAAATTCGAGTGCAACGTAATCAGTGGAGCCCTTCGAGGAGGGGGCGATACTGTAAGTGCAAGAAGGAATTACTTGAAGGAGGTCCTTTCAATTCGGGACCGTCCCCAATTCAAGGAAGACCCGAGCAAATCGGATCCTCCTTTGTTGTATTTTACAAAAGAGGATATGCATGGTGTGTTGCCTGGACATGTTGACAGACTAGTCATTGCTGGAACCCTGGTAAACTGCCGGGTTAAGAAGATTTTTGTTGATGCAGGGAGTAGTGCCGACATCATATTGTGGGACGCTTTAAAAAAGATGAACCTGGATGAGGAGGACCTCAAACCTTGCAAAACAACTTTGATAGCTTTTAATGGAGAGCATACACCTCCTAAAGGCTACATAGACTTGAGGTTGATCTTGGGAACAAAAGAAGCGTTCAAATCAGAACAAGTAAGATTTATAGTGGCCGACTTCCCATCAGAATATAACAATTTTGGGAAGACCAACTATACACCAGTGGGACATGCTGGTTTCCACGAAACACCAAAAGATAAAGATGCTAGGCAGTAAGGGTGAAATAATTACTGTTTGTGGGGATCAAAAGGAGTCCAGGGGATGCTATTTCGACACCGTCAAAGATAATGAAGATGGACATACAGGTCCACCCCGGATTCATGCAGGGGATAAACAAGGCAAGAACACAATTCTGCACCACTCCAGGAAGCCTGTTAATGTGGTCGAACTCGACATGAGAAGAAATAATACCGAGACCCGAACCTGATGGAGAGCTAGAAAACCTCACATTGGGAAAAGAACCTGGTCAATTTACCCGAATTGGTAAGACCATAGATCCTCAAATTAGAGAAGAATTAGTCGATTTCCTCAAAAGCAACACGGATGTGTTTGCTTGGAAATCGTCTGAAATCCCGGGCATCGATCCCGCCTTCTACTGCCACAAGCTGGCAGTTTATCCTGGATCAATGCCGGTTTCCCAAAAGAAAAGGAAGTTGGGACCAGAAAGGAAACAAGTTCTAGAAGACACGTTAAGGAGCTGTTGGATGCTGGGTTCATTCGGGAGATACAGTACACAACATGGCTTGCGAACGTGGTGATGGTGAAAAACCAAATGGGAAATGGAGAGTCTGTACTGATTACACGGACATGAACAAAGTTTGCCCAAAAGATTCTTATCCTATGCCGAACATAGACCAGCTGGTAGACAACTCGGCAGGATTTCGTTTATTGCCCTTCATGGATGCCTACTCGGGGTACAACCAGATCCTAATGTAGCCGGGGGATCAAGAAAAAATCGCCTTTATTGCTGAAAAAGCCAATTATTGCTACAATGTAATGTCATTTGGGCTTAAAAACTCAGGGGCAACCTATCAGAGGATGATGAATAAAGTTCTTGAAGATCAACTGGGCAAGAATGTAGAAGTATACATTGACGATATGATTGTAAAGTCGTTTGATATGACGAATTATGTCCAGAATCTCGAGCAGACATTTCGAAAACTCAGGAAGTACCGTATCCGTCTAAACCCGGTAAAATGTTCATTTGGAGTCCCAGCTGGGAAGTTTTTGGGTTTCATGCTAACCCATAGAGGAATTGAAGCTAATCCTGACAAATGCAAGGAAGTGCTTGATATGAAAGTACCATAGAATAAAAAAGAGGTTCAGCAGTTAACCGGTCGATTGGCTGCGTTAACCCGGTTCCTACCGAAGTCTGCTGAGAATGCCCTCCCATTCTTTAAACTATTAAAGAAGGAAGCAATAGAAGGCTGGAACCCGGAGTGCCAAGCCGCGTTCAACAATGTCAAGAAATGCTTAGCAACTCCACCAGTACTCTCAAAGCCAGATCCAGGAGATATTCTAATCTTGTATCTCGCTGTGGGGGAGGAGACAACAAGTGCTGTCCTGATCAAGGAAACTAATGAAGGCCAAGAGCCAATTTATTTCGTCAGTAGAGCCTTACAAGGTGCAAATGTCAGATATCAAAAGCTAGAAAAGGTGGCTTTTGCTTTGCTGATTACGGCCAGAAGATTAAGGCCATATTTTCAGGGGCATCAAATAATAGTCAGGACTAATCAGCCTATATGGCAGGTGTTTCATAAGCCGGACCTGGTAGGAAGAATGACTAACTGGGCAATTGAGCTCAGTGAGTACGACATAGCATATGAAAGTCGGAAGGCCATCAAGTCACAAGCTCTGGCCGACTTCGTAATGGAGCTAACACCGTTGAACCTGGAACATGAAGAGTCTGGGGGTGCATGGAAGGTCTACGTAGATGGATCCTCCAACAATAAAGGAAGAGGAGCTGGGATCATACTAGAAAGCCTAGGAGGAGTAACAATTGAACACTCCTTAAACTTGGGATTCCCGACTTCGAATAATCAAGTTGAATATGAAGCTCTGATAGCTGGTTTGATGCAAGCTAAAGAACACGGAGCTAGAAAGGTACAAATCTTCAGTGACTCACAATTGGTGACTTCGCAGATAGAAGGAAAGTATCAGGCTAAAGGTCCTCTACTAATAAAATACTTGAACAAAGTTCAAGAAATAATGGCCGGTTTTGATGAGGTGCAGGTTACTCACATCCCTCGATGGGAGAATAGCCGAGCTGATATCTTGTCAAAATTAGCAAGCACCAAGAATCCGGGTAACCACGGAACTGTGGTACAACAAAGCATGACAATGCCGAGCTGCGTAATGGTGATAACCTCGGCAAATGACTGGAGGAAACCCATAGTGGATTACTTGGAAAAAGGAATATTGCCAGAAGATCGTCTGGAATCCAGAAAGCTGGTCCGAGATGCGACACAATACATAATTGTGAATGACCAGCTATTTGGAAAGGGTTTGCACATCCCTATGCTTAAATGTTTAAACTCGGAAGGAGCAGAATATGTCCTCGCCGAGATACATGAAGGAATCAACGACCATCACATGAGCGGCAAAGCTCTGGCTAGAAAGGCCCTTCGAGCTGGGTATTACTGGCCGACAATGGAGGCAGACTCTAAAGAACACGTCAAGAAATGTGACAGCTGCCAGAAACATGCCAAATTAATCATTTCACCACCTGAAGAGCTGAAATGCATCTTGGCTCCATGGCCCTTCTTCAAATGGGGAATGAATTTACTGGGACCCTTTAAAGCTGCTGACGGGAAACTTAAGTGGTTAATTGTGGCTGTGGATTACTTCACAAAATGGATAGAAGCAGAACCAGTCACCACAATCACCTCGGCCAGAGTGCAAAGGTTCTTTGAACGGAACATTGTTTCCAGATTTGGAATACCAGTCGAGGTGGTCACTGATAATGGAACACAGTTCGCTGATAAAAGATTCCGGCAGTTAATGAAAGACCTACAAGTCACACATCGCTTTGCATCTGTGGAACACCCACAGTCGAATGGGCAAGCCGAAACAGCCAACAAAGTGATTGTGAACGGTCTCAAAAAACGAATGTTTGATGCTAAAGAAAGCTGGGTCCAACAGCTATACTTTGTCCTATGGGGTTACAGAACAAGTACCCAAACTGCAACGGGAGAAACCCTTTATCGACTAATGTATGGATGTGAAGCCATGATTCTGGTGGAAGTTGGAGAACCCTCTTGGAGAAGGATGAATAGTCTTGGACAAGGCGAGCAACAAAAACAGTAAACTGCTTACTGATGAGTTAGACTTGTAGATGAAGCCAGAGTTACAACTCACTGCCGGGATATGATGGCCAAATAGCAAACAACGGTCAAGTATAATAAAAAAGTGAGACCAAGAATCTTCGAGAAAAATGACTTGGAACTCAGGAGAGCAGACATTGGCAATAAGAATGCCTGGGATGGAAAGCTAGCCGCAAACTGGGAAGGCCCGTACCGGGTTAAAGAGAAGCTCAGAAAAGGAGCTTATGTCCTTGAAACTATAGAAGGCAAAGGAGTTAAAAGAACCTGGAATGCGGATAAGCTGAAGATATATTACAGTTAAATCTGGGATCCACCTTTGCCCATTTACAGTAGTTCTATTCAATTATATTTTCCACTATTAGGAATCTAACTAAAGCTGAATATGCAGGAAAATTCATGTAGTTCTCAATTTGATATCAATAAATGAGAAATTTTTCTTTTTAAATATTTATACTTGTCTATTTATGATGCATCAATACAAAATTCGAGGTATAGATACAATTTGTTATAGTGACTCTGATCAAGTCGAAATGCTCCCCATTTTGGTCAAGATACCAAAGGGGACAGATGACAGTATTGTTTTTGCCTTAGATAAAATTGAATTATGAAGACCAAATACAATCAAGTGGTTAAGTCAGTAAAGACGAGATCCTTTATTAATACAGGCTTACCAGAACGAGTAAGTCAAAACAAAAATGCGTCAACGAGAATGACATAAAGCGGAATTCGTATAATGCTTTGACCTCGGCCAGGTCAACAATAAGAACTCGTAAAATGCACGGGTTTAGTAAATTTAGTTGAGTTGAAAAATTACACCAATGAATGGTGTAAGACACTCGAATATAATTTAATAGTATAAAGCTCGTAAAATGCACGGGTTAAGTACATGTATCCGAGTTGACATTACAACCGATAAACACGTAGTGCAACTTGGATAGAGTTCATTACATAACTCGGAAAATTCTGGGTTTCGTAAGAACAAATAACCCAAGTCGCAACTCGGATATCACATTGAGGGGAAACTCGGACAAGGTTTGAAGTATGCATAATTTGTCTAAGTTATAAACTTAGGTGCTAAAGGCAAATGCCTAGTTGTAAGAAAGATGCGAAATACTTTTAACAAAAGCGACTACGACTTAAGGGAAACATGCCGGCTTATGCAAATCCAAATACCTAGATAAATGCATCTAAGGTGAATTCGAAAAGTAGAAAATGCAAGACGTCAAATCGTAAAACAGAATATACGAAGACGGTAAAAAGCTCAAAGTCAAATCGGAGTAAAACCGGCAATATTCAAAACAAGTCAAAAAGGGGCTCGCAGGCCCTAAAGAGAAATTACAAAATCAAACCGGCATCCCGACCCTTCATGAAGCAGGAGGAGCAGACTGAGTGCCAACTTCTTCACCTCCCTCTTCCCCGGCTTCTGTCCGAGTAACAGAGTCACACAGTGGAGATTCTGGAGGGCCCCCCACAATCACACCCTTGCTGACTACACCTTGGGGTGTATTCCGGTTGTGTTAAATGCTAATTCTGGGTTGACCACTTTCAGTTGATTAAGAGCATTGTTGAAAGAACCTACCACGGATTTCTCGAGTTCAACTCGATAGTTTTCGGCGGTAAACTTGGCTTCCTTCAACTCCGACTTAGCTTCTTTCAACTCCGCCTCAACCTTTTCGAACATAATCTTGAAATCAGTCAGCGACTTATGATTAAAAGCATGTAAGACTTGAAGTTCATTATGCTCTCTTTGGAGGTTGGTGAAACTATCCTTCGTCTCTGTTGCTCTCCGGCAAGTATACCGATCGCACAAGTAATATAGAAAGTAAGTAGAATATCGTCTCCACAGGGATTGGGTCGAATATCAATTAATATTCCTTTCAAGAATGGATGAGTTCAAATGGTTTTTGACAAATATTGTCGATTTGTGTAAAAGTGAGAACTAATAATAAAGACTTGTTTTTGTAATTTTGTTTATGAGAAATAGAACAATAAAGTGAGAATTGATTTTTGTAAATGTGAAGAAAAACATTGTAGCTAGAGTGCACTCACCTTATGATCCCCACTTATTACTTTGGATTGATTTAAGAATATTCAATTATATAAATACTCAGATAATTACCATCTAAAATTAATTAGTTAAATTCCAATCCTTTGGCAATTTAACCCTTTAATCTCAATTGGAATCCTAATCCCTTAGCAACCCCTCATGAGAATTAAGCAATGAACACGATAATTCAAACATCTGCAATTCAATACACATCTATTCCTAGCATGCATACGAACCGTTATCCTACCCCCTTTCAGGATGAAAACCCCAATATTCCTATCTAGGGTTCTAACCCTTAAACTATCCTCAACTATCAGATTGATCAATTCTAATAACGAGAATATAAATTTCGCACAAGGTAAAGATAAAGAACTTTATATAAACAAGTAGAAATTAATCAATCCGTTGTAACAAAGGTTCACATAGGGTTTGTGACCCTAACTACAATAAAAAAAAATAACTAGCCAACCATAATCATGGCTAAAAATCCAATATTCATAAAACGGTAAATTAATAGAGAAAGAAGAAGAAGAAGATCAAGAATTTCTCTCCAGAGCTCTCCTTCTGACGCACGACGGTCTCCTTAGGTCCAGAATACCTAATTCTGTGCTGAGCATCCTTTTTATAGTCCCCCTTTTCATCTTCCAAAACTGCCCTTTTAAAAACACGGTGTTGTGATTTCGCAATCTGGCGCTCTTAGCGTGAGTTTCAAGCTATGAGCGTGGATGTCTCTGGATGTTCACGCTACTAGCGCGAATCTCACGCTATGAGCGTGGATGGAAATAATGACTGGCGCAACTCGCGTGAGTTTCACGCCATGAGCGTGGATGTCTCTGGATTCTCACGCGACTAGCGTGAGTTTCACGCTATTGGCGTGGGACTCTGGCCTGAACTTCTAAAAGTGCCTATTTTTGTCCTGTTTCCTACAAAATTAGAAGGAAATCAGTTGCACAATCTTTGATTGAGATTTATCAAACTAATAGTAATTCTAGCCCTTTTCTCCAAGATTAATCAAGATTTCTTTCTCATTTTGGCTAAAAATCATATATATGCTAGAGGCATATCAGTCTCCGTCAACGTCAAAACAGCTTGGTTCTTCTCTTCCTTCACCTGCGATAAGTCCGCAATGGCCTTGGCTTTTTCACCCTGGCATGTATTCAGGTCACTTAAGGTGCGAAGATAGTTATCCTTCAAAGACCAGAGTGGCTTAACCATGGTGGACATTTTCATACAACCCAACTCCATATCCTCCAGTTCTCTTATTTGCGTTGCGATGAAGGGGCACGAGTTAAAGAAAATCTCAGGGGGGGCTCACGGCATCCCGGAGAGCATCAGTTATTCCGGATTTCCATAACGAATGCTTGGAAATCCCAGAGTAAGGTGGCGGCATAGCCGACTTTGACACGCCCTGGGAAGCCACAGGAGCACGCTTCTCAGGATTTCCCTTGGATTTGTCACCAGGGACTCCTTTGTTCTTCTCGGCAGTAAGGGAAGGAGGTTTCTTAGACTTTTCTTCATGGGCTTTTCTTTTCTTGCCTGTAGAATCAGTAACAGCGCCCTTGGCACCCCGATTTAAAACCGAGAGCCAGCTAGGCTGGTTGTCACTTTCACCTAGCTGCTCGCTTGGTCGTCCCATATTAATGTAGAAATAAACATACTCAATTCGGCATCCATCTTTTCTTGCGACTTATAAATGAGGGAGGCAACATTGGCATGTTTGTGTGACTGCAGATATGTACCAATGGCAATGGCACTATTGATGTTGGCAGAGCTTAACTCCGATTCGTTGAAGCGATAGCTTGAAGGAGGAAACTGGAAGTGGTCAGATGACCAACATAAGGGAAATTTTCCCTCCACACCCTCGGTACCAGGGTTATAAAGAAACCATACCTCTTTACCGGGGTGTGTGCAGAAACTTTAAAGAACTGGTCTTTAAAATTTTTAAAGGACTCGGTATAAACATGAAAAAGTCTAGGACCCGGAACACCCCGGATGGTAACCCAACCCTTTCTCTCTGGTGGTTCACGACCAGTTCGACAAGAAACAACTTGGAAGAAATAAAAAAATACGCGAACGGAAGGCTGCAGAGCAAAGTATGCACAAAAACGCTTAAAGGCCTTCACAAAACTCCAGCCATTGGGGTGGAGTTGGTTGGGTGATATATGGAGATGATTAAGAATATCAATTTGGAATTCGGTCAAAGGAAACTGAATTCCAAGTTGAGTTACGACGTCGTGATAAAAGAAAAAGAAACAAGGGTTTTCTTCTGCTCCCCCAAAGCAAACCGACTCATCTTCTTGGGAGGGACTATATCGTAATTTTTCAATTGCCCAACGGGAAGGCCGGCGACATCATCCGAGCTTATCTCGGATGTGGTATTCAAAACCTCGTAGGTCACCCAGGGAAACCTGGATACTAGAAAGGCATGAGGAGACTCGAAACACGACTCAGCCGAGCCCAACTCATCTACAACTTCTTGAGGGGAAGATGCCATAAATACCTAAAACAAGGAAAAAGCTGAATCAGACGAGAATGGGAATACCTGAATCAAAAATACTATTAGATGAATCACGAGAAGATGACGAAGTCGGCAAGTCAGAGATCATAATGGGATCATTTGCTTCACCAGATGCCGAAGTAGATTCCATAATATCCTTGCGTCGGCAACTAGCCAAGGTAGACTCGGCCAAACGCTACCCACAGGTAACCTCTATAAAATACCAGGTAAACCCTAAAGGTACGTTACGCTATCTCTTACTGTTATGTTGTCACTGTGCGCACACACACACCCAATTGGCTAACGCCGTTATATAGTATTCTGTGAACAGTGATCTGCTTGACTCAAAGGTATCTCCTTCATAGATACCTTAGAGAGGGCACTAGATCCAAGATAAACATACCTGCCTATTGGGCTGGATATCTCTGTCTCAAGGACA